GAGAGAGAGAGAGAGAGAGAGAGAGAGAGAGAGAGAGAGAGAGAGAGCAACAGAGCAGAAAGGAAACATCTTAGTTTCACATGACTGAAGGATGTGATGGGCATATATTCCAGTAGACTAAAGTTGGGAGTGCAGTCAGTGTTTCCCACCAAAACACATTGCATGCGTCCTTGAGATCCAACAACGTGTTAAGAGACATTTACATCGTCAGAAAAACAAATATTTATACAATTGTTTTACAGCTGTTAGCACATAATACAACAATTCATCCAGATTCACACATACACACATTATGAGGACAGCTGTGGGTTGTACCTGTTAGCGATGAGCTGTAGAATCTGGATGAGGAACTTTCCAAGTCCTTTCCTCCGCACTCTGCTCTCTAACTGTACCTCATAGCTGCAATGAGAGCATATTGTTAAAAACAAGTGAAATACATTTTTCTGTATTTGTGGTAATAAAAAAGCTACTGCTGGAAAGTACCAATATAAAACCTCCTCCCCACACTCCACGTCGAATCGGAAGTGAGAGAAGGCCACGGGGGCGGAGTCTCCGTCGCGGGCCAGTAGGTACCACGCCCTCTCGTCGTTCATCTCCTCCCTCTTTTCCCTCTCCTTCCACCCCCACTCGCTCTGCTCATACCTGCAGCACAGCAAAGGGAGAAAGCGGGTCATCTCAAACCTGGCCTGCTGTAATTATACCCTCTCATTCCTCACCATCATCCCAGAACGGACTCATTTACTGTCGACTGACTGGATGGATGCCGTTTGCTAAATCAAACACAATTGTAGTCATTTCTCTGCCTCAGTCTCTAATCCGTCTGCATTATCTCTGCTCTCCTTTCCACAGGCTCCCCAGTGAGGATGATTCAATTCACACTCATATCTATGTTTGATGTCACTCTCCAATTATCTTGCACACTTTAAAAAAAAAAAACAAAAAAAAAAAAACACCTGGCATGTCTGCACTTCTTCTATCTATTTTCAGCGGTAATCTACCACTCGCCAGACTGTTCATCCCTGTTAAATATGGGTCACTTTGTTCCTCAGCTACAGAGTACAGACTTCTTACAGTGTTTGCATGTTGGCTCTGGTGAGCTCGAAGGCCCACTCCACAGACAGCGGGTTGAGGGAGGTCACTCTTTTACACTCTATCTGCAGGTTCAGCCTAGACGGAAGGACAAGGAAACAGGGTCAATAACTACATCCTGAATGTATGTGTGTGTGTGTACGAGTCTGTGCTGAAGTAAAGTGAGAGAAAGACTCAGAAGAACAGACAGAAATGCCGCCAGCAGACCAACCAAAAGAAATGATGCAAGTATGTATTTCATGAAATACTGAATAAGTCCTTTGTAACATTGCGTACCCATTTCTGTCGTACTTTTTGAAGGCTGGGAAGGCAGCCAGTGGGTCATCGAGCTGTGAGGAGAAGAGGCAAAATTAGCTGAAAGACACTTTCAAAAACACAAAAGTGTTTTTATCAAATATGAGCCGTTTCTAGCTTCTCAAACGTAATGATTATGTATTTCTCTTTGTAATTAAATGGTAGTGAACGACGTCTCTTTGGGTTTTGAACTGTTGGCAAAACAAGATATTTGAAGACGTCACCGTGTGCTCGAGGACATGTTGACATTATGTGGACAAAACAATTCATCGATAAAACGACAGGCAGATTATTCGCTCATCAAAATGATCGTTAGTTCCGCTACACTTCTGTATTTTCAAATCAAGTCCTTCATTTGTGAATGCAGTAAATCCCCCCCAATGGACTGTAACAGACACTGTATAATCCAAACATCCCTCAGGCTCAACTACAGGCTCTGGATCCTAAATAAGCCAATCAGGGCCCATACAGGCAGGAACATTACAGTTAGTGTTAGAGCCCCGTTACTCATAATAAGCGCCCACAAAGTGATCTTTTCCTCGGTCCTGACAGAATACATAATATCACATTAAGAATACACCTCTTCTTGCAAAGATGATGGGAAATTTAGGCCCCTGGGCACAGACGTGTGACCTGTGCAGCTTTATTAGGGGAAAGATGAAAAAAAACATACAAAACAAATAGATATCAGTTCAGACATCCCCTTCTCTTTGAATGAGCCATTTGATTTTTCCAATGACGAAGGAAAACTATCAGAAGGGTGATCTCCCAGAAATTGTTTTTTAAGCAGTGAATGCACTGTTTGTTCCTTTGAAACAATAATCAGAGTCAAGATTCATCACTGTTGGCAAGAGTTCAAACAAACAGAAAGGTTACTTTGGGAGAATTTCTTGCATTCCTGCTCCGTTGGCACATCAACAGTGAAAAAGGGGCAGGAGAGAGACAGAACAGCATGCAACACAGAGTGCCCCATTTTGGGACAAAGTGACACAGAGAAGTAAGAAGTGCAGGCAGGCCTGCTCAGAGCTCGTGGAGGAAGTAGCTGCAGCTCAGCTCGAGGAGGCCGGGGTGTGAGCTTTGTTCAGTAAAGGTTTACATCTCGAGCCAACCTCCGAGCTACAGGAGCGTTCAATGCAGTGCCAAACATATGGCACTGCATTGGGGAGGATATCAATTACGGGTTCAGTCAAGAGTGAGAAGGGCATCCCCATCTTTTGGTGTCATTGCATTGAACCATGTCTGTTACTGCAAGTTAACAAATGAGAGAAAACACAGCTCACAATGGAGGTTTCAAGTGTTTTAAGTGCTTGGTGCAATCTGAAGCCAAACCTGAAACAGCACGTAAAGGGGCCAAGTGGTGGAGGCTTTTATGTGAAGCACTTAGATGAAAAAGTGCATTTATTTCTAACATTAACGCACTGCCATTATCAACTGTCAGAACTACACAAATGTGAATGTTGAGCTTGCTTTGCAGCCATCCAGCAGCTCACAACTAAACCACTGTTTCAATTCCATCTCCCCAAAAGACTCCCTCAAAAGCCCCTCCGTGAGGTCCGCTCCCAAGGTTGACAATAGCTGCCTCTCTGGTTAATCGGCAACCCAAAAACAGTCACACCTTATTGGCTGCTTCCACCTTGGCACAGACGGCATCCATGGCTGCCCTCTCTTCCTGACGCCGGGCCTTCTTCTCCTTTGCTCTGTTGGACTTCCTCTGGACACAGGAAATAAGGAAAGGGGTAAATGGAGGATTGTGTCGAGGTGGAGGCAGAAGAGAAAAGCAGGGACAAAGGAGAGAAGAGAGGGCAAATATGGAAGAAAGTAGCATGATGATGAGAGGTGAAAGGATAGGGAAAATATATAGGGCAGGTGTGTCAGAAATATCATTTTTCCAAACTACTCCTTATTCAACCACCTTGTGATCAGGCCCACCATTCACTGACAGACAATTATTTATATTGGTTTGATAAAAAAAAGAGCAGTTCTATTCGCTGATGTTGCATATTGCCCTCGACTATGTGGGACTGTAGTTTCGCTCAAATTTAGCCCGCGCTTGGCTTGATGTCCAGCGCTCGTATCAGCAATGGTGCAACCATAACTCACACACATTATTACTCTGACTGCATCAATGCCTGGCTGACAACACACACATGCTCAAAGCTGCTATAAATATGTCTCTAGCAGGTGCACTCCCATAAATATTAAGATTATTAGCCGTCTTTAATTATTGGCACCTGCAATTTATAGAGAAAGTTAACAGTCACTTTTAATTGGGTTTTGGACAGGGAGTCACATAAAAAGCTATCTTTAGACATTACTCTGGGGACATTGGAACATTTTCTGACATTTAAAGATTGATCAATAATGGAAAATCATCATTCGTTGTGTCCCTACACTGCCAGCATACTATTTTGTATGCAGCTATGAACCACCTTGCGAAGCCTCGTGTAATTACACACGATCACGTTTTCAGTGACATGTTTACAGCGCCGGTGCTTCATGAACAAACAAGTAGGTATTAGCTCATTAGATCCAGACCTGAGAGGTAACAATCATGGGCAGGAATGCATTGAATTGCCAACTATAGCTCAGGGCATTAACTCTGTACCAAGCACCGAGAGGCTGCAGACTGAGCCGGGACTGTGGAAACACGTGGATCGGTTTAAGTGGAGGATAGACTCAGGTCTGCTTAAAGAGACTGACGTTAGCTCAAGTTATGGAGACTGTACAGCACGAGTGTAGGCCTGGCTGCTGCTGAGAAGTACACTATTCACACCCAATGAGTCTGAATGTATTATATTAAGGTGGGCTGAGACAACACACTTCTGGCTTGTTGGTATACAAATATACAACCACACGCGCAAGTGATTAGCAGTAACAGCTAGCAAAGCACTCGTCATGTACATGGCATTCCTAAGTGGCTAACACAGCTAGCACGCTAACAATGGCACAGCACACACCGGGAGAAGTTAACTGTGCGTAACGGGGAGGACAATGCGGTAATAACGCTGAAAATGTGACGCTATGTGTGCGCTTTGGGGCTGCCGTTACAATGCTAACCAGGCTAACGTTGTCTAGAGCTAGCTAACGTTAACGGCAGCCAAATAAGCCCACCGACACCTTAGACTACACACATCCACCATGGTCTCTCTTCCTCCCTCCTTCTCTCTCTCTCTCTCCCATCTCACCATCACGCATGAGCCCCAAAACATTCACCTTTCGTGTACTCACCTCGCATCGAGACATTAGGCAAAACACATAAAAACTCACCCCCATTTTGCAGCTGTTTGGTATCGATCCCCCGGAGAGAGAAACACACCTATTGTCCGCGTGCTGTGCTGTTGTTGAGTTATTAGTCTCGTCACCACAGAGAAGGGGCCAGATTAATATGACAATGAATGTGCGCTAACGAGGCTAGCTGGATGTAGCACCGACTGATGGCTGCGGGAGAACCAGCACTTAGGCGAACATTTGGTTAAAACATCAATGAAAAAAAAAATGCTGTTTTTGTTCTCTTTAAATCGGATTGGCGCCAAGAGTACGAGGCTGAATTTATTACAGGTCCTTTCCTTGCCCCCTTTCTTTCCTCTCCTCTCCGTCGCGTTCAACTATGCTACGTTCACGTGCTCTTATCTGGCTCCGACTTCTGAGTACTACTGAACTTTACTCCAAAACGTTGGGGAAAGTAATATTTATGAGAAATACATACTTTTATTTTACGGGTAACAGAACAAAGATGAGTTTCCTAAATGTTGCTTCAAAGTGGTGGTGTAGGAGGTATTCAGATAATTTATGTATTTATATTTTTATCTAAAATAAGCACAAAGTCCAAGGAAACTCCATTACAAGTCCTGCATTCAAAATGTCACTTAGCTAAATAATGTAGGCTGTTATCAACAAAATGTACTTAAGGCATGAAAGGTGAGTGTTCTCATTTTTCAGCAGAATAACTCCCCGTGAGTGTTATATTATTATATTTTTGGATTATTGTTGGTGGTGCAGACAATTTAGGGTTTCTCGTTGGTTGAATTCCATTTTTTTTGGGGTAGTTTATCGATACAATGCATCGTTTTATAGAAGGTCATTATAGATTTTGTTAGTAAAATCCTAATCTGCAAGGTAAAGTGCAAGTTTAAAGCTGCAGAAAACAAAAATGCAAAAAGTACAAGTACCTCAAAATTGCACTTTCTACAGCCGGTTGGTACAGCACAACAAAAGTACTTCAACAACTATCCATGAACGTGGATGAAACCTCTAATTTTTCAATAATTTAATTAGACTATTTTATAAACCGTGTCGCACATTCCTTATGGTTACACATTTCTAAAAAAATAATACATCCCTGAAAACAGAATAATATATTACTTTCATTAAAACAGCAAATACCAAATTATGAAATGTAAGATACTGAATGTAGCCATTAATTGTTGGAATAATCCTAAACACAAACTAGTTGTGTATTACTGTACTTTGCTGACTATCCATAAAGCCTCCGCATTACCAAGATAACCTTTAGTACCAGTCAGTACTGACATAAAACCGACACTATTTGTAGTCTAGATTTCCAGTTGCATACCACACCACCACGTACCACAGAATGTTGTAGAAATCACAGAAAAATGCTGGCAGCGGTGGGATTTGAACCCACGCCTCCGAAGAGACTGGAGCCTTAATCCAGCGCCTTAGACCGCTCGGCCACGCTACCTTGTACACACGTCATAGATATGTGTATAACACTTTTCCGACAGCACTTGAATGCAGCACCACTTTAGCGCGAATATGGTTTCCTTGTTTAGAAAGTGACGACAGACGGGTGGACGGGTCAAGAAGCGTCATACTGCAAGTCGATTAAACTTTGGCCATAACTGTCATGACAGAATATCTTTTAAACATTATAACGAACCCGAACTAATTATAATAACCAACAGAAATGCAGGGAGTTGAGTTAAAGTATTATATGTAAGCTACATTACATTCTATTAGAATGTAAAGAAGCTACATTACATTC